TGGCGTGGGCGATAGCGTCGATGTCGGCGCCTGCGCCGGCAGCCGAGGAGGCGGCGGTGCCCGCGCGGCCCTCGGAGCCGATGGCGTTGATGCCGGCATCGGCGGTGATGTTGGGAGCGTTGGCGCTGGCGCCCGTGCTGGCGGCTGCGGAGGCGGCAACGTCCTCATCGGTGTCGGAGCCGGAGGTGCAGTCGTCGGCATCCAGCCTGGCGGCGGCCCCGGCGTAGGCGTCGGCCCTGGCGCCGTCGCTGTCGTTGATGCCGGCGCAGGCAGGGGCGTCGGGGGCGGCGGCGCCGGTGTCGTAGGTGGGCCCGGTGCCAGCCTGAGCGTCGGCATCGATGTCGGCGTCGGCGCTGGTGTCGGCGTTGGCGCTGATGTTGGCGCCGGCGGTGACGACGGTGCCGACGACGGCGGCGGCGTCGGTGCGGGGGACGGGGCCCTCGTCGGGGCCCGCGGCGCCGAGCCTGGTCCAGTCCATGTCCCACACCTCGTCGGCCTCCACGTCCGTCTCGGCCTCGGCCGTCTCCGCGGCCCTCCACGTGCCCGCGGTGATGCTCACGATCCCCTGCCCCCCGATGATGGTGCAGGCGGCGACATCGGTGACGAAATCGGCGGCGTCGTTGGTGCCGGAAACGGGGCCCCTGTCGGTGCCCGCGGTGCCGTGCGTGGTCCAATCCATGTCCCAAACCTCGTCGGCCTCCACGTCCGTCTCGGCCTCGGATCCGATCTCCATGAGGCCCCGCGCCTGCTCCGCGGCGGGGTGGCGGCGAGCCCCCACTAACAGTTGCTGCCCCACCTCCAGGGCCTCGTGGGCCTCGCGGGGGAACTCATCGCGTTCCACCCGCGCGACCTCCCAGGTCTCGAGCACGTCCGTCAACCGGTACTGCTTGGCCTCCGCTGGCGCCCCTCCCGCCGCCACGGCGGCTGCCCGCTCCGAGCGGCGCCTCGCGAGCGCGTCTCTGGCGCCCTCAAGGGCCAGCGCGCGCCGGCGCAGCCGTGCTTCCAGCTCGGGGCCGGCCCCGCGCCAGAGATCCGGAGCCGGGTCTGTGCCTGCGCGTGCATTGGCATCGATGCTGGTGAACACGATGGCGTTGGTGCTGGCGCGCTGGCCGCGATCGATGTTGGCCTCGGCGCTGGTGCACCCGCGGGCGGCGGCGCCGGCATCAACGCAGGCGCCGGCGCTGGCGGTTGCGCCGGCACGGGTGCCAGCGCAGTCGCCGTCGTTGGGGTGGGCCTCATCACTGGCATAGGCACTGTGGGCAGCGCTGCCATAGGCGCTGGCGCCGGGGAGGACGCACGAGGCGCTGTCGTCAGCCCGCTCGCCCTCGCCCGCGCGTCCCCGCCCAGGCATGGCCAGGCCGCCGTCCTCGTTCAGCCCGGCTGGACCTCCCATCGCTGCCTCGCGGATGACGATCCTGTGAACGATGGTGGGGCCAGACTCGTCGCACTCGCCCCTCGTAGCCCATTCCTGCTGAGAAGCGCTCTGCGTGAGGGGGATGGCCCCGCCGATCCACATGGGGCACTTACGCTCGGGCGGTGCCGCGATCTTGATCCTCATCGTCGAGGGCGCCAGGGCGGATAGCTCCTTGTTCATGCGCTCCCCGATCCCGGCGAACAGGGTGTTGCCGCCAGACGGAAGCGTGTTGGCGTAGAGGTCCCTGCGGATGTCGACGTCGCACTTCATGATGGACTGGAAGGGGGTGTTGTGGTTGCCGCTGGCTTCCCTGCCGGTGAAGCTGGACTGGAATAGCACCTCAGGGCAGCGGGCACGCTCGCTGCCCACGGTGATGATGCTGCCGCCCGGAAGCTCGTACGCCTTCTCCTCGTCCCCAACCTCGGTGGCAGCCTGCATCTCAGTGTCGCAGACGAGGGCAACGTAGCAGAGCTTCTCCGTAACGTCAGCGACCTTCATCAGGTACCCCGCGAGGTCGCGGCCGGCCAGGTCAAGGCGCAAGATGGTGCACGGCAAGGCATAACCCTCGTAGATTGGCACCCCATGCGACACATCGGCACTCGAGTCCGTCGCGATACAAGTGGCAGGGCCGGAAGCGCGCAACGAGAGCACTGCCGGGATGGCCTCGTACATCGCGTAGAACGTGTGGTGCCAAATCTTCTCCCTATCGTCGCAACTCGTCACGATGCCGTGCTCGATTGGGTACTTCAGCGTCAGCACGCCGCGCCTGCTCTGCGCCCCGTCGCCCACGTAGCCGTCGTTCTGGCCCACCCCGACCATGATGGCCGATCCGAACGCGCCGGCGGAACCGACCGCGCCGCCCCGCCACGGTCCCCCGTCGGCTGGGGGTTGGCAGACAACCTCGGTCGGGGTGCGGGCGTCCTCCTGGTGTGCGGTCCTCCTCATCCTCCTCCGCCTCCTCGTCCTCGCTCTCGGGCGGACCTCCTCCCTCGCCGCTCTCTCGCCATCTGGCGGGCGGAAGGGGGTGGGATTGACCGCCGCGCGGCCCCCCGTCCCCGCTGGCCCAGCGGCCGGCGCCTTCGCTGCCTGCGCCTCTTCATCCTTTTCTCCTCCTACGCCGCCTACTCCTCCTCCTCCTCTGCCGTCGACCCCCTCGGTCGTCGCGAACACGCCAGGCTCGCGCGAGGGCGGCGGGACCGCCTCCTCGGCCTCATCATCCCCGACGGCGCGTAGCTCCGCGACGAAATCCGCGGTGCTGACTCCTGCCTCGCCCCCCGCCCCTGCGGCAGCCTCGAGCCCGTCGATGCGGGCCCGGAGGTTCTCGGCGCCTGTGGCCCCCAGCTCGAAGCTCGTCGTCAGGTGCTCGACGATCGCCATCAAGGTGGCGACGTGCGCGCGGCTCCTCGCCAAGGTCTCCTCGGCACATAATCTGCGCGCCCGCTCGTACTCGCACGCCTGGCTCATCCCTTGGACGAGCCTCTCGGCTATCATCTGCCGTGAAACGCGCTCTCTCCACCGTCGAGTCGCCTCCTCTTCGTAGGCCTGGCGCCACTCCTCAGCACCCACGGCGGCCCGTGACCGCTCTGCCTCCAGGGCGGTGCACCGCGACCGGGCCACGGCCAGCTTATCCCCGGCGTCGAGCGCCTCGGTCGCCCAAAGCTGCAGGTTGGTGCCCTTCTCGGCCAGCGCAGCCTCCATGCGGCGATGTCGGCACTCGGCTCCCAACACGCAGCAGGCCAACCAACCAGCGGCCAGCCAGCCGAGGTGAAGCAAGTCGAGGCCCAGCCCGCTGCTCCCAGCGCCCCCCACGGAGCTGGCCGCCGCGCGGCTTCGCTCAGCGACGGGGAAAACCGGATCCACCGGAGACGGGGCCTCGCCAGCGCCCGAACCGTTGCTCTGGGCTGCCGGCTGGCCGGACGGTGTCAATGAAGGTCGCTCCGAAGGATCCGGCGCGGCGGGGCTACCCGTAGGTTCGCCACCGCCCCTGCGCCCAGGCCTCTGCCTCAGGGGGGTCGTCGAAGTCGTCGTAGTCGTGGCCGTCGTAGTCCTGGTCACAGCCCGCCGTGCGGACGCCCCCGTCGTCGTAGTCGCAGTCGTCGTGGCACCAGCCGGGCGCACCCCAGGGGGCTTGGCCGGCGGCCCTCGCCCCTTCCCTGCCGCGGGCGCAGGCTTGGCGGGCGCGCCACGCCCCTCGCCATGCCCACCACCGCCCGCTCCGGGCGCAGGCTTGGCTGGCGCGCCGCGCCCCTCGCCATGCCCACCACCGCCCGCTCCGGGCGCAGGCTTGGCGGGCGCGCCGCGCCCCTGGCCATGCCCACCACCGCCCGCTCCGAGCGCAAGCTTGGCGGGCGCGCCGCGCCCCTTGCCATGCCCACCACCGCCCGCCGTCTGAAGATTCGGCCCGGGCTTGGGTAGCGCCGTCGGCGCGGGGGCCCCAACGCCCGCCGCGCGACCATAAGGCCACCAACCCATCGCCCCCTGGGCCGACCAAGTAACCATAACTGCCAAGTGCGCCATCAGGAAGCCCGCCGCCATGGCACCGCTCCGCCCCGCGCCAGCGACCCTGGGTCGCTAGCGCGAGGATGCCAGCAGTCCCCAGACTGCAGCACCGCGGTTGTGGCCGCCCCGCGGCCCCCCTGCCCACCCGAGTCCTGGCTCGAACTCGAGCCAACGACTACGGACCCAAAATGGCTATGGCAAAGCCCCCGCTTCCCTACGCTTAACCTGCAGTCTACCAACATCACAGACTATACAATATTACTACTACTACTACTACTACTACTACTACTACTACTACTACTACTACTACTACTACTACTACTACTACTACTACTTACTACTTACTACTACTACTACTACTACTACTACTACTACTACTACTACTACTACTACTACTACTACTACTACTACTACTACTACTACTACTATACTATACTACTACTACTACTACTACTACTACTACTACTACTACTACTACTAC